CTTCACTAGAGATACCTAGTGGCAGAGAATCGTATATCATCCCTCGACGGATCCGTTGGCGTTGGATCTGCCGGCACTGTTTCAATTTCTTCCCCTTCCGCAACTTCATTAATGGACTGCAAAGAACGATCCACTGAAGGATTTCGTTCGCTCACTGGAGCGCTATTGCCTTGACGACGCTTTAAAAAAAATTGGCTGACATTTTATATGAAGCTGATCCGAATAAGACTGAACAGCAACTGAACCTGACAAAATGAGTTGGTAGCGTTCTGAGTAGTAGAACGACCAGCAAAATGGATCCCACAACGGGTTGGACCTGCCCGCCTTCTCTGCCTATCTACTCGTTCCATTCGTTGCTTCGCGCGTAATTTTTCAGCTAATAATGACTGATTGCGTTCCCACAGCAATTGCCTGCTGTAAGCCATTTTGGCCATAGAAGCCTGGAAACTGTAGTCTGGAAAACATCGACAACAATGAACAATGGATTGACCTTAGTTTGAGGAAGATCCATGGCACTGCGTGGACAAGTAAGCCGAGCTTGTTGAGAAGCAATGGAAGATCGGAGTACAGGACGAGTGGATGATGGCGCAGCAGCAACAGAAGGGGAGTTCGTACGTCTTGGAGCAGAGAGGCGGTCATAGACGTTGGGACGTGGAGGCTAAAAAGACACTACGTACCGAGCATAATACATTAAAATAAACCAACAATTTCTTAAAACGAATGTAATGACCGACCTCCACTTCGGGTTGTTGCTGAGGAGAGGGAGTGCTACTGAGTGGATCAGGATGTGTGATGACTTCACTGGATGAACTGGTGCTTCTTTTCCGACGGGGTAGCACCACTTGCCAACCATCATCAAGGGATACTGAAAAAAGAAGCTGATTGGGACCGTTTCATTTTTGTACACTTACAAACTTACGTCGAAGGGCTTCTTTGAAATCTTCGTCATTCTCGTCCTGTGAATTTTTGCCTGTGTCTTTTATCAGAAGCCTGGAAGCAAGTGTATACCAGACTCCTGAACATTAGTCGAATTTCTCGAAACAGCAGAAAAACGAACGGTAACGAATCAAGCCCGACATCTACAGGAGATCGTGTCGACTTGCGAATTTCCCAAGCAACAGCTTGTGGTCTACAAAATAAACACTTCAGTAAAGAAAAT